GGATGAATCTATTTATCTCTTCTTGATGAACACTGTGGGGTTTTCTCCAGCCAAACAGATGTTTGGCATGTTACTGTTTATTTTTTTCCCCTCTGACATTTTCATTCTTTCTTGCTTTGCTTCATTAAGTGCTTCTTACTGACTCCAACACTGGAATGATTGGCACTAAGGGAAAAGAGTGTTTTGCACACATAAATAAATGTGTTTGTGTGTGTATAAGAGAATAAGCATAATCAAACATTATAAATAATGCCTAATCTCAATGTTCAGATTTCAGGTGCTTGGCAACTGGTTCATATTTATGACGGTTGCTGTGTCCCGAGGTCATGGGATCGTTTTTTGCAACCTCCTGACAAGCAAAGTCAATGGGGAAGCCAGATTCACTTAAGAGCTGGGTTACTAATTTATAAACTGCAGTCATTCACTTAACAATGGTGGCAAGACAGGTTGTAAAATGGGGCAAAACTCACTTAACAAATGTCACAGTTAACAGAAATTTATGGCTCAATTGTGGTGGACTACCTTATTTCAAACACATGCTTTCTAGGAGAAGGTGCTCAGCCCTATTGCAACACTGCTGATGGCTCCAGATTAAAGAACTGTTAAGGGCATAATGGCAAGCAAAGTAATTTTAGATTCTGAACTTAACTGTTTTAGGTGTCCCAACTTATGTTATTAGCATTGTTGTGATGGGAACTCTTCAGACGTAAAATGCAGTGCTTCATTTACTTCAAAATGTGGTCAGGAAGGCCTGATTAATTTGGATGGGTTTTGCTGGATGGCAGCCTGTCTTGTGCCTCAAACTGAGCCCCCTTCACTGTCTCTGGACGTTGACAGCTGCAGCCAAAAAAGCCAGTGCAATCCTAAATTGCATTAACAGAAGGATACAATCAAGATCAAGTAAGGTACTACTCTATAAAGCCCTACTAAGACCACACCTAGAGTTCTGCATCCAGTTTCGGTCACCACACTATAAAAAAAGATGTTGAGACTTTAGAAAGAGTGCAGAGAAGAGCAACCCAGATGATTAGGGGACTGGAGACTAAAACATATGAAGAACGATTGCAGGAACTGGGCGAGGCTAGTCTAGTGAAGAGAAGGACCAGGGGAGACATGATGGCAGTGTTCCAATATTTGAGAAGCTGCCACAGAAAGGAGGAAATCAAGCTATTTTCCAAAGCACCTGAAGGCCAGATAAGGAATAATGGATGGAAACTGACCAAGGAGAGATTCAACCTGGAAATAAGAAGAAATTTCCTGGCAGTGAGAACAATCAACCAATGGAACTGAAGTTACTTTTGGAAGTTATGGGAGCTTCATCACTGGAAGCTTTCAAGAAGAGATTGGAGTGCCATCTGTCAAAAATGGTATAGGGTCTGCTTGGATGGAGGGGAGGGGTTGATTTATAAGGTCCCTTCCAACTCTGTTAATCTGTAATCTCTATATCTGCTGGCTATCTCTCTCCTGCAGCAATTCATGTTTTATGAATTAAGGATATAATTGTCTTGCTTTTTACGATATTCTCCAATGACTGATCACGAATTCTTCCATTACTACCTAGTTTTATTTAGTTTCCAGATTGTTAGAATTTGTGGGTGCTTCATTCCAGATTGTTAGAACTTCTGGGTGCTTCATCAGTGGAGGCTTTTAAAAAGAGACTGGACAGTCACTTGTGTGAAACGGTAGGGTCTCCTGCTTGAGCAGGGGGAGGGGTTGGACTAGAAGACCTCGAAGGTCCCTTCCAGCTCTATTCTGATTCTGGTTTGGACGTAAAGCGATCGATTCCAGCTCGTTGCAATCTCTCTGTCCCCGTCGCATCCCCCCCCAGCGCTTCTTTTCATTATGACGTCAGCACCTCCTGGCAACAGGAGAAAATGGTTGCCTCGGCAACGTAAACAAGAACGGAGAACAATGGAAGAGGCGGAATGTCGAGGACGCTGGAACCTGCCTCTTGTCCGAAAGCGCTGCGGCTCTTGAGTTAAATTGGCCGAACGGACTCGCAAAACCTCCGGCACGGATGTTCGCCGCGCAGAAGCAATTAAAAGAGCAGCGTGGGATCGGAAAACAACTTCAATCACTGAATTGTGCTTTACTTCTATAGAGAGGCATATCTTTCTTTTTTTCTTTTGTCTTTTAATTTCCTACCGGGAGAGAATTCAGGCTGAGCGCGATTTGCTTTTCTTGAACTTCCAGCGTGGATGAAAAGGGTCGTCGAAAAGCAGGGAAAAAATCTACAGGGGGGGGGGGGGAATCTCAATATTGAAATTAATGTCTTATGTCTCTGGAGTGAACTTACCCAGCAAACATATTTACCATCTGTGGAAATTCATCTTCTATTTCTATCAGGAGGTTTAAAAAAATTTTTTTTTACTACATTCTCCTCTCCCCCCCTTTTCTCCCTAGTTGATTTATATAGGTGCTTTCAAAAGCAATGTTCAAGCATCCTTTTTTTGTAGTTTGGTTTTCCATGTGTAACCTTTTCTGGGAGAGAGAGAAAGAGGATGGTAGCCTGAGGTTGTTCCCGAACAATTATTTAATAATAATATTAAACAAGCTGTTAAACAGTAATCCTGCCCCAGCTTTTGCAATAAGGGCAGACTTCAAGTTTTTTAAAAAAAAATGTTTTTTTATAGGCTTCAGCTTCAAATGGAATTGACATTGGAATTATTAGGGTGGTTTCCTCCCCATTCCCTTTCAAAGGCAGCTGTCAATTTGCTTCCTTACCCATCACGATGATGACATGCTTTGAACCTTTTCATTCTCTTGGTAAAATGGAGTTCATGACATAAGGCCGCAACGGGGCTAGAATTCCCATTGCTAAGGAAGGCAGTTTTTAAATGCATCGTGTCTGATTTTATGATGATGATGATGATGATGATGATGATGATGATGATGATGATGATTTTTGCCATGATTGTTAACTGAATCGTTGCGGTTGTTAAGAAAATCAGGTGGCTGTTGAGCAAATCTGGTTTACCACGTA